GTCTAGTTGTCAATGTCTTAACTGAGCTGTCTTTAAGTTGTCTATTTGTTAATTAAGCTATACTTTGTGTTCTCAGTATCTTAATTAGCCTATAAGTCTAGTTGTCAATGTCTTAACTGAGCTATCTTTAAGCTGTCTATTTGTTAATTATGCTATACTTTGTGTTCTCAGTATCTTAATTAGCCTATAAGTCTTGTTGTCAGTGTCTTAACTGAACTATCTTTAAGTTGTCTATTTGTTAATTAACCAAAATTTATGTTATCAGTGTCTTAATTAGCCTATAAGTCTAGTTGTCAATGTCTTAACTGAGCTGTCTTTAAGTTTTCAATTTGATAATGAAGTTATACTTTATAAACTAGATATCTTTGGTGGTCAGGTAAATAAGCAAACTAATCTTTTCGGTTTTGAAAATGTTGGTTCTACACTACAAGGGTTGGACAAAATAATGGAAACATCTGTTAATTTCTAAATGTTATTTCATTACACGGAATTGGTCCACCATGAGCAGGCAACACAGCTGATGTTGTACATCAGACATTTTTACCATTCGTTTACCGGTGGTGTAATTCTGTTTCGAAGAAACATTAATTTCATGAAGTGACCATAAAGGTATATCACATTTAATTTTGGAAACATTGATAGCCAAGTTAGGTGCAAAACTCCTACGCATGTTCTCTGAACCAATCTTAATAATTCCATCAGTATGAAGTGTTCATTGTCTTACTAAAACAGGTTATTTCTCTTCATTGGTGTATTTTGAGGTGAAACTTATTTTTATTACAATGACAAGAGGTAACACGAAATTAATTCTGGGTTCTTTAACGAAAAACTGTCTGTACCATCACAGAATTAATGAAACAGAAATCTGTCTCTACCATCACTGAACTAATGAAACAAAAAGCTGTTTCTACTATTACAGTACTAATCAAATAAAAAACTGTCTGTACCATTAGAGCACTAATAAAACAAAAAGCTGTCTCTACTATTACAGCACTAATCAATAAAAAAACTGTCTGTACCATTACAGTACTAATCAAATAAAAAAACTGTCTGTACCATTACAGCACTAATAAAACAAAAAGCTGTCTCTACTATTACAGGATTAATGAAACAAAAAGCTGTCTCTACTATTACAGGATTAATGAAACAAAAAGCTGTCTCTACTATTACAGGACTAATAAAACAAAAATCTGTCTCTACCATCACTGAACTAATGAAACAAAAAGCTGTCTCTACTATTACAGTACTAATCAAATAAAAACTGTCTGTACCATTACAGTACTAATCAAATAAAAAACTGTCTGTACCATTACAGTACTAATAAAACAAAAAGATGTCTCTACTATT